TTTGAAAGCCTTTTCCCCAATGCAGCAAGGTTCAAAGGTGGGGCTTTTTACACAGTGATTATGGCTGTAACTCACTGGTGAATTAATTCGTTTTTTGGATTAATAATTTGAATAGACTAATGGGTGATAACCATAGGCAGGTGGGGAGAGACTGAGGAGGTAAGTCACTGGGGCATGATCTTTGGGACTCTATCTTGCCCCTGGTGTGTGACTACTGTTGTCTCTCTCTGCCTCTTTCTCTCTACTTCCCAGCTGCCATGAGCTGGGAAGCTTTCCTGCACCACACTCTTCCACCATGATATTTTGATTCATTTCCATCCCAAAGCAATGGAGTGAGCTGACTAAAGACTGAAACCATGAGCTCAAAATAAATTTTTCTTCTTCTAAGTTGTTGTTTTCAGGTATTTTGGTCATGGCGATGAAAAACATAAAATTGGAAGACAAGGCCAGGCATATGGACCTGCCCCAGGGTGGAGTGAAGGGGAGCAAGACACAGAGTTTTTGTATGCCCTTCAGTAGATGAATGGATAAAAAAAAAAAAATGTGGCATATGTACACAATGAAATATTACTCAGCAATAAAAGAGAATAAAATCATGGTATTTGCAGGTAAGTGGATGGCGCTGGAGAAGATAATGCTAAGTGAAGTTAGCCAATCCCAATAAAACAAATGCCAAGTGTTTTCTCTGATATAAGAAGGCTAATTCATAGTGGGGTAGGGAGGGAGAGCATGGGAGGAATAGATGAAATCTAGAAAGGGCAGAGGGGTGGGAGGGGAAGAGAGGGGGCAGGGTGTTAACAAGGAATGTGATAGACATCATTATCCAAAGTACATGTATATAAAGTATGCTCACATCAAAGACACGAATTGGTATGAACATACTTTATGTTTCAGAGATATGAAAACTTGTGCTGTATATGTGCAATAAGAATTGTAATGCATTCAGCTGTCATTTATTTTTTAAAAACCCATTAAAAATTAAAAAATAAAAATAACAACAAAAAAGCTTTCTCATACAAATAAAAAGTTGAAAAGTAAAAACAAAATAATAAAACAAAGAAAGAATACCAATTTAAAAAAATAAATTCCTATAAATAGTTTTCACATGAAAGATAAAACATTCTAATAATAAAGAAAATAACACTGAAATACCAGGAAATGACCACATATAATTAAATTCCCATAATTTTAATCATAAATCATTCCCTTCCAATTGACTTCCTACATGTTTTAAAAATGTGACAGCCAAGTACTTCCAGACTTAAAAGGAAAAAAGTGAAAATATCAGGGTAAAAGGAATCCTGTACATCTTATTACATTGAGAACTCAACCTCTGACCCCAAAGACAGACTTATTAGGGCAGCAAACCTGGAGATAGAAAATATTATTCAGCAACATTTGATAAAGTTTGAATAGGGTAACTCTGCAAAGTGCAATAATATCAAGAGCAAAAAGGAAAATAAAGATAGAATGTTTTCAGGTTAAAATACTATCCCACAAACTTGCAAAGGAAAAAAAGTAACACCATTCAATTTGAAGTTAAGATATCACGGAACCAGAAGCTCAGATTAACAGAGATCATTAAAACAAAATCAGGCCTGACAGCTGCATTTACAAGGTATGGATTCAGAGGCTGCAAAGTACAAATGGTATCTTTCCTGTCTCCATCCTTTGACCTTCACAGATCATGCAAAACTGAAAATGTCCACCTAAAATCCAGCACTCTTAGCAACAGTGAGCCTACATTCTATGTAGCAGCTATGGATAGGTGAGAAGTGATAGAGCTGAGGTATGACTGATCCCTAGTAGATGAAGCCCAGGCCCTTACTGGCCACAGACTCCAAGTCATTGGGTCAATGTTCATGTCTGGCCCTGGAAGCCTGCTGTTGTGAGTCCTGCTCCATTTCATCAATTGCAGCTCATAGTGGTAAGGGTGGAAGGGAACTTGGGACTCATTTCACAGGGGCCTGGAGTCCCTCTGGATGGAGCTGTTGTGCCACCATGAAGAGGATGAGTTTTTGCATGTTCTGGAAGGCATGAAGGCATGAATTCTCTGAGAGTGGAGGACACTCCATTAATGGGGCTGATCTGCCTGATTCCTGACAACCAGTGAGAGCTGGACTCAGGCTATCCATCCCACGATTCTTCTCTCCGGAGAAGTAAGGATCACTGCTGTTGTCACCTTCTGGATAGAGAGAACATGCTCAGGAAACTTTCCTTTGGCAGGAAATATGGCTACAAAACACCATTTTCTCAGTGAAAAAAATGAATGGACGAATGAGAAATTATAGGAGAAAGGTAAGAAGAGTTTCTTCTCTGGGAAAAGAATACAACAAGAACAAAAACATTCCTTGTTTAAAACTGAGTAATTTAAGATGAACTTCTTCCCCAGTATTATGTCCTCAGCTTAAATGAAGAAAATTAATATGAAAAATAGAAAATAAAGAAAAATAAACCAATGTTGTGAACCTATATAGTTCTTGAGGATTTCAAGTCCATTTACTTGACTACATTGTAGACCTCAATAAAGAATTTCCTGAGGATTCCAGAAATGACTTAAAATATTTTTAATACCACATTTGTTAATTATGAACAGACATGAAAATCACACATAAATTCCTTATATTGATAGCTCCAACACATTTGTAATATCAACATACATTAACAAAAGTCAGCAAAATTAAACTTTGCAGTTTAGCCAATCTGACAGAGAACATTTTCACTAAAACTAAATCTCCACAGACAATGGCAAGGTGGTACTGGCATTTTCTACATGGCTCTCTTGGGTGCACTTCTGTGAACCAAACCCCATTCTTCCCATCACTTTTTTTTTTCAGCCTCTAAGTCATCATTTATTGATTTATAGAGCACCCATCACATGATTGAGGTGCTTTACAATACAGTAAACATCACAACAGAACTCACATAGTTAAATACAATCAACAAATTACAGAACTAAAAAAAAAAAAAAAAAAAAACTGGAATGAAGCAATATTATGTCAAATTTCAAAGATGCTGAGAAGCGGCAGTACAGAAAAGGTAATTCCACCAACTAGAGACCAGACGGGCAAAGATACACAGGCATCACAACCCGAGGTGGGCAGATTTGTAAAGGGTGAGCGAGCATATAAAATAAAATTTCACAACTGGGAATGAAGGCCATTAAAGATACTATGTCATCCAAGTGATCACAGAACCAGTGGAATGACCTCACAAATATATTTACCTTACAATGACAAGAAAATCAACCGCATATGGATTTTAAACTCAGAGTCCAGAAAGCCACTGAGATCATCCTTTCTGTTATGAACACAGGCTAAAATCTACAAGTTTCTCAAAAAACTTGGAATAAATTTAGTAAGAGCCAACAGTTCTACACCCAAAGGACTATGCAGATATTAATGGTTGGCACAAAGTTGGGGGTTGAGGGGGGGTCCTTTTCCTAAAGCAGAGAAGAATCACCTCACACTAATGATGAGGCACTGGTGGGACAAAAGCCACCTAGTTCAGTGTCACCTGAGTGATTTAGATATCAAACGTAGAGGCATTTAAATTCACGGTCAGATGAACACTGGGAAAGGCACAGATGACATCTCTGACAGAGGAAAAGGAATCCTCCATCTATCAAGGCCTGTGTTTCAGTTTGTAGTATGGTGAGGGGACATAGTTGGAACGAGTATGAGGAAGAGAGGCACTGGCTCCTGCCTCTCCTATTCCCCTACGTCCAGCCCTAAAAAACCACCCAGTCATACCAACATAACTGCATTAAAGTGGCACTTAAAGTTTTGTTCAGAAACAGTTGTCCCTGAGTTACTAGGTCATTTGCTACTTATTGAGCAGTCAAATCCCAGGTTTTAACTCAACAGATTGCTAATGGAATTATAGCAATAAGAGCAAAATTCCAACTCCACAAGCAACCACTATGTGGACGATTTCTGACTTAAGAGTGAAGGAGATTGCATTCAAAGTCCCTAGTAGGAGTGCAGTCTAGCTAGCACTTTGGGGCAACGATTTTTACAAAGTCTCTGGGAAAGACAAAAGTCATTAAGTTCTTGAAGAAAATTGGGCTCCAATGAATCAAATAAATTTTTATAGTCACTGAACATGTAAGGGTTTTTAATAATATTTATGGGTTTCTACAATACTTGAATGAAGAACAGACTGGGATTTATAAAAATCACTCTTCACTGGGACTACATCTGTAACCACTTTACCTCTGCTTTAAAAAAAAAAAAACCTGACAAACTGGTAGAGGTCTACATTACTGACAGGATTCCTTTCTCTCTTCTGCCAAAGCATTTCTCCAAACCCCACAGAGGAGGGATGCACCAATTTTCACTGATTCTCGCAGTCATACGCCATACCCGATCTGGTACTGTCTCAAGTTCTATCCCTTATATGCCAAAGATTGCTTCTCACTCTCAACCTCACAATAAATAGAGAGAAGCCTAGGACTGTCTAACAGTGCACATGCTCATTTCACCAATTGCTAAAGTTTAGAAAATTTTATGATATGAAATATACTTATGCTCATAATCAAATCCAAGTGTCATACATAAGTGACAGAATCTGTATGTCAAATAGCAAAGCATTTACCTCTGAAATACTTTTAGACTCACATAAGAATCCAGATAAAACCCAATACTTACACTGCCATGGCCATGTGATTTTCAAGTATTAAGTTTGTTTGCATAAGGAATCAACCTGAGATTTTTCTAAACTGCACTTCTCTGGCATTCAGTATTATAACCTTCATTCAATACAATAAAAGCCAACAACTTGACAATTATTGGGAAAAAATTATATTTTAGAAGAACTCACTACATAAGGTGACAGAATTCCAAAATCAAATTACATGAAAATATACATCGCAATTTCTTTGTACAATAGGTGAGAAAAATCTCTAGTATTGAAGAATAGAGACAAAGAAATATGAAGGATTAAGGAGGATATAAGGGCAAATAGCATTCTTAATAGCAAACCAAGAAGTAAAAAGCTTGTAGTTGTGCATGCTTTATTTATCCAAACTTAACATTAAGTCAACTGAAGGGCAAAAATAAAACCAAATCAGAATTTTGTATTATTTGGGGTAAATTTCAGTAAGTTGAATTTAGAACCAACTTTTTTTTTTTTTAAGTTCTTGGGATAATGTCTAGGTTCAAGAGCTCTCAACAGCCAGAAAATGTTATTGCTACATCCAATCCAAGAGATGGGTGCAACTAGAATACAAAAAGACAAAGCACCTAGTGATGACCACTCCTCTGAAGTCATCATTAAAAATCAAGTAATTGCTTATTAAGTATTTCAGTATTTGAACTAAATCATCTGAGAACTTTCTGGCAGATAGAAGAGATAAAAGCAGAGGGGACTGTCAAAACAAAGAAGATACAAAAGTTTAGTAAGTGACAAGGGTTTAATGAAGCCTCAATGGTTTAAAGGAAATTAAATGGAAACTTTTAATCCTAATTGCTTTTCATCTGACATGCTTTAAGGAGTCTTTTTAAATTGATAAGAAACAATGAATAGGGAAAGAAAACCTGCTAAAATCTTTTTAGAATTTACACGATTCTTATTCTACTACAAGAAAGCATTATTTGGTACAAGGTGTATTTGTGGATGTGCATGAACAGTATATATATTATCCGGATCATGTTGTGCTATGTACACGTCTTTACAATTCTTCCTGAAGGTTAAAACAGTTCATTAGAATTCAAAATGCGTAATCATCTGTAAGTTGGCACTTGTTAGGCTCTTGTCAGCATTGATAACTGGCATGTTTTATTGCAGCCCAGTTCCAGCCAGTGTTTTGCCAACTTGTTACAACAGAAGTCCAGCAATATAGGTGGGTAGAGTGCAGGAAAAACAGTGCCATGTTTCTCAATTGAAGACCCTGAAATAAGTGAAATTACTAGCTGCTGAATAAATGTCACTCAAAAGCAGTCTCTTGGCTTTTTCTTACACAGCGTGCAACTTTCCTTTTAAATTCTCCGTTTCTGTCTTCCCTCCATTCTTTCACAGCATCGACATTAGCAGGTGAATCTCCATTAGGGTCTGCCAGCATAGAAATGACACTAATCATGATGGTTTCCACAGTGTGGATAGGAAGCCAGCGTTCCTCTGGCTTTTCATAACCATATTTATCCTCCCCAGGCTCATGAAGAATAGAAATGCAAACATCACCATTTTTATCAACATTTGGGTGCCAGATTTCTGTAATGAATTTCATTTTAGGAGGCCGGAGGGGATAATCTTTTGGGAAAGTGAGATGAGCCTTAAAAACACCACCTTCATAAAGTGTGTCTGGAGGACCAATAATAAGGACTTCCCATCGATAGAGATCATTGTCATCTATTAAACCTGCTGAAAAGCCTTCCACTGGATTTTTGTTGAGTTAATCCATTTCAAAGACAGATTTCTTCATTGCAGCCTTAAGTTTCTACATCCAGGGTTAAGGGAATCTGGCTGCAGGATGAGGGGGAAGATCGCCTGAACCCGGATTGACATTTACCGGGCGTTGGACAGCAGGGGTAACTGCTGGTTCATCTCTCTTTAAATCTGGCAGTACGTGGGGCCTTCCCATCACTTTTTTATTGAGACAATAGAAAATCCACCACTCTGTGTTTTCAGTCAACTTCGGCACATGTGAACACACCATTCATATACCAAGCCCACCCTTCCTCTTTGATTGTCCTGGTAAGTGTTCTGGTAAGGCAGGAGGAATGTTTCCATTCATTGCTCTGCATCTGATACCATGAGAAATATCAGATACCATGAGATATATATCAAAAATTCCTGAGTATTTAAGAAGGTGAGATAATGAACTCTCTAAAGGTCAGAGTCAGCTCTATGTCCTCTCACCAGTGCCCAGTGAGATATCAAGGATGATGCCAACAGTGAATTAGAGAAGGAATGAAAGAAACATGTTTGTGCTACTGCATCAGTATATCTTGATTTTTATAGGACATGCAGACTAAGGCTTGCAGGGATAAAATTAACTAAATTTCACTTTTCTAATTACTCTGACAAAAGCAATTATCTTTGGAAGATCCTGGATATTTACGAGTTGAAGCAATGAACTTGTATGTTTGAGAAAATGATTCCAAGGACAATATATGTCAGAGATAAATTCCACCACGACAACTTTCCTCCAGGATACAGTGTTTACTTTCCATTTTATAACCTGATACAAGACTAATAATGTCAAATGAAGCAGTCTGAACACTCAGGATACATAATCTCTTCTTAATACTTCCTTCCAACTACATACCACTGTCAAGTTTAAGTGCTACCTAAATTGCAATGAGTTATACATAAAGCAAGAACACATATTGTATACACCCTCTTAGAAGAGAAAAAGGAAGCACATTTTGAATCACCACCGCACTGTGACCTTTCCCAGCTTCTTAAAGGCCACCTGTCCTTTCAGCTATGGGCTTCCAAACTTCTATTCAGGGCAGATCAGCATGATGCAGCTACTTTTATGTTACAAAAGAAAAAATACTGAGTAACCCAGGCAGAAATGAAGAAACAGAAAAAGATTTAAATACTCAGAGTGATAGGATTACTACAACCATGAATTTGAGCAATAACTGGGGAGAAGAGTAAATAAAAAATTTGTCTTCAAAGAAAAGCTAGAGAACAGCCTATGTTCTTAAAGTCTAGTCTTCCCAAGTACACTCAGTTTTAAGCCTTTTTATTTGTCTAAATCATAACGACAGAATAAATCATCTCTCTTCAAATTCTGAGAGCCACGCTCTGAGCAATCAAGTGAGATCTGAGAGTCAGAAAGCCACTGTCCACGTGGTCAAAACTGAGAGTCCTCTAAAGACGAAGGCTGAAAAGAAATTACTATCTTGAGATTGAATTCAAATATCAGAATGAGAGTGACCAAGCAGAACCCATGAGACCTAAGCCATGCATGGATTTATACAAGGCCCAGAAGAAAGGCTCCGAGGTTAAAAGAATATTTGTGATTCTAAAAGACAGATTTCTCCCACTCATCAGGGTAATAATACATATAATTATGACAAAAGACATATTAAAGAGAGAAAAGCAATAGAACAGCAACAGTAAAGATAATAAAGAGATAGAGTTAAAGATACAGATACAGACACAGACATTAGGATCCTCGATCAGAATCCAGAAAGCAGAGAGATCTCCAGAATGCCTGTGGCTAATACACTAACAGATCTCAAAGACGGTGCCAAAGGTAAATGCCACACACAGTCTAAAACAGCCTTGAACCTCATTCAGCACTGGTGTGCAATCCATCACTATGTTGCAAGGCTGGAAGAAATCTCATCTCCTTGGATGACAACCACATATTACCAGCCATGTGCATGAAAATATACACTTATCTTTAAACACTATCAACACACACCAAAGTACCAAGATGCTAACATGTTGAAGATAGTCAAGAGCCAAGATCAAAAATAGAAAAGCTGAATTTCTTCTCCCATCTGTAGGTGGATCTGTAGGTGGATCAGTGCCAAAAGCTCAGTGGGTGAAAGGAGGAGAAAACTGAGGCACAATGGACTCAAACAGCCCTCTTCCATTCCACTCCCTTGTTGGTTGATCTCTATCTTGCTCCTTCTCATGGTACCCTCTCTCTCCTGCATCTTGGGCTCACTCTCTGTGCAGATCTTTCTTTCCCTCCATCTCTCCTCCCTTTCCTTCCTTGCCAAGGTCATGGAAATGTAGGGCGCTGAGGAAGCAGCTACAGGATTACAATAGAAAACAATCACACTGGAAAGGGCTAAAGTGGAACCCAAGGCAGAGAAATACAAAAGAACCCTGATTAGTAAGGAAACTTTGCCTCGGCTTCTAGTTCTTAAAATATGCACAGCTAAATGGAGCTGATGTTCAATTGTGAGTTTGGTAATCACTATTCTAGTAGGAGGGGCATGCTGATGTACACTGTTTTCCCAGTATTTGTACAGTTCACACATGTATGGTCTTGGTTCTTCTCAATTAAGTTTCTTGTTTTTAAATTATTAAATAAAAGCATCCCTTTCTAAATGGTGTACGCAAAAACTCCGCAAAACAATGTGAAACAACTAATCACACAGGAATGATGTTGGTTGTTTAAAAAAATCCTGCCTAGCCCTGCCTGGTAGATAACCAATCACGATGTTAGCAGACAGGCAGTCAACCTAAGTCTGTGCCCTATTTGGCCAACTGCATGATCCCATTCCTGACTGATAATGTGAATTTCTAAATTGATTTATCAAAGTGAACCAATTCACAAATAACAATTTAAAACTGATAAAAATGGAGTTAAGACTCTGAAAATATACAGATCTGACTACAGGAAAGAGGTGAACTCTCCTTCAGTCTCCCTCACCCGCCTATGTCCGCTATCAACAGTTCAACACTCATGCACCCTATTTCTTCCTCTCCTTGGCAATCTTTGAACACTACCAGCAGTTTATGCCAGGAACTTACAAAAAACAGTGGAGGAATCTACAAAAGAAATGGAGAAAACACAGCATAAAGTAACTGCACTCTCTTTAAATACTTACACACAAACTAAGGAATTTGAAAATACAAATTTATTTGATTATCCAGTAAATGTTTATTTGAAGACCATGTATACCTGCTGGACTCAGGTTAACAGGTCACACACTCCTTGGGACTCCCCCTCCCAAGACTTCAAGGAAGTGACCCCTGAATTTTCTAAGAGAAAACAATTTTGGCACATATCTCAAAGGGTGTTCTAACATTGTTTTACAATGCAATATTATTTTCTCTCTAATCTCACAATTATCAGGGACCGGGTAGTTTAAAGTCAAAATCACTTAATATTTTGCTTGAATGATCTTTGAAATGGAAATCCTGTTAACACTACTATTTTGCCTCTATAGGAATAAAACATTATTATATTTAGTATCCACACTTCTCAAACTAGATATGAATACTGCCCTCCCCCAGGTTAAGGGCAGGGCACCACTAGATAAGATAGAATTTCAGGTAGGAAACAAAGCCACAGATGGAAGGGCATACCTTCCTAGAAAAACAATTTTCCCCTCAGAAGAAAATATAATATTTTATATTAAAAGAAGGCCCAACATATCATGTAGTAAAATTAACAACTAGTTGATGTCTTTTAAAGATAAAAATTCCAAATTCCTCCACTGGGAGGAGGAGGAAATTTTCTAAGAAAATTGCTACTTGCAGCAGTGTATTAGGTTATATCCACAATATATGGCATTTTCTGCAAATGATCCTCTTGCCTTTAAAAGCTTGTAGCTTTTTTATGGGGGGGGGGCGGTGAGGGGAGAGTTATGCTAGGGATCAAACCCTGGGACTCACCCATACTAGGCAAGTGCTCTATCACTGAGCTACACCACCAGTCCTTAAATGTTCTTTGATGAAACTTTTGGGGAATGTTTCACACACACTGTGAAGTCCTTAAGAGTGTGAATTACATCCAAGTCCTTCTTTTTGTCCCCTGGCACCTAGGACAGTACCTATGACAGTATCTGGCACATGGTGGATACTCAATAATGCTTGCAGAATTAATTTGGCTAAAATAATGACAACAGCATTATCAATAACAAAAGACTGTTATCACATTTGGATGGAAGGAAGAAAAGATGAACAGTTGTATGAGGAAGTAGAGGAGAAGCAATCCAATTTACCAAAACAACTAATGGTCGCCATGGTAACAATCAGATGAAGCAACTCAATTTAGTTCTTTTCCACTAACAAGTACTGGAAGGCAAATATTATACTTGTTAATTTCAGATTGGAAGGACTTAGGACACAAGACTACCAAGTGACACTGGTGCCCATTAAGTTTGATAGCCTCTGGAGAATTTGGAAAGGCATGATAATAGTAATTCCACCAATGATATTACTCCTGGTATCCACTTTGACCCTAAAAAGGTCACTAATCATTTAAAGATCAAGTGTCAAACATCTGCTGCAGACTTGACATCTGTGAGAAGGAGATTTCACACACACACACACACACACATCAAATATGATGTGGACTCACCCTGCTTCATTTCTAAGATTGTTACTTTTAAAAAATTAGCTGGATCCAAACTAAGTTACAGGATGAAAGATGACCCAAACAAACAATATAGTTTATAGTAATGTAAAAATTTTCTACTTCCCTAGTAGAGACACTGCATTTTTACCTCACTTGTAAACAGTAGAAAGGATCAGTATCACACCCACTTTCTCCACACACTCCCTCTTTCACCTGAGTGAGTCATTCCCCCTGCACAGTATTCCCCTTACTTTCTAGACTTGAGAGAGACACTGGGAGGAGGAGGAAGCAAGGACTCCCAGATCTTGAGCCTTGAACCAATGAACAAGCACACTGACAACTCCCAAGACTATTTCCTTTTCTTAGTTTTAAGTCTCAGATATGCATTCTGATCAATAAAACGGAGCCTTTCTTATATCAATAAGGACATCTAGAGCTCAATATAT